ATTATTTCAAGTAATAGAAGAGTCAATACACACCAGTAACTTCTGGAACAACTGGAATTCGCTCTATAGACCACAACAGGAAGAATTGGCCATTCAAAATGGGGACATTTGGAGGACACACTTTGAAAATCTGTACAAAACAACTGAAACAAATCCTGCTCGAAATGAATTAAAAACCAAATTAGAAATCCTGAAAGAAAAAATTAAAGACAATCAGAACCCCCTAGATTTCCCAATCACAATAAAAGAGCTTACAGAGAGACTACATGCTTTAAAACCAAACAAGGCATGTGGCATAGATGGGATATTAAATGAAATGATCAAATACACCAACGAAAAACTCAGAACTGCAATTGTCAAATTATTCAACATTATTTTGAGAGTAGGATATTTCACCGACACCTGGAACCAAGGCCTAATAACTCCAATATTTAAACAAGGAGACAAATATGAGCCAAACAACTACAGAGGCATATGCGTCAATAGCAACCTGGGGAAAATATTCTGTTCGATTATTAATATAAGACTGCAAACATTTCTCAAAACCCACAAAATTCTGGACAAAAGTCAAATTGGATTTCTGCCCAAACACAGAACATCTGACCACATTTACACACTTCACACGATCATTGATAAACATGTATACCAAAATAAATCCAAAATCTTCGCTTGCTTTATTGACTTTGAGAAGGCTTTCGATTCGATCTGGCACGAAGGACTCTTCCTAAAACTACTGGAAAATGGGATTGGAGGGAAAACATTTGATTTGATCAACACCATGTATAAAAACAACACATGTGCTGTAAAAATAGGGAATAAACGAACAGAATTTTTCTCCCAACAAAGAGGAGTCAGACAAGGTTGCCCATTGAGCCCCACTCTATTTAACATATATATAAACGAACTAGCCAAAGCATTAAATAATTCCACTGCCCCCGGCCCAACCCTGACCCAATCAGAAGTTAAATGTCTCCTCTTTGCAGATGATTTAGTCCTTCTGTCTAAAACACAAGAGGGACTACAGCAGCTCCTCAACGTCGTAGAGACATTCAGCCAAACGTGGGCTCTCAAAATTAACTTGGCAAAAACTAAAGTAATGATCTTTCAAAATAGATCCAGGTGTAGGGAAAATAAATACATATTCAGAGCAGGAAACCAAGTCCTCCAACACACCCATGACTACACATATCTGGGTCTGAAACTGAGTTCAACAGGGAACTTTAATCTGGCTGTGAATGAGCTGAAGGCAAAGGCAATGAGAGTCTTCTACATGATTAAAAATACAATTAGACATGAAATTCCAATTCGAACCTGGCTAAAAATCCTAAAAGCAATAATTGAACCCATTGCTCTGTATGGCAGCGAGATATGGGGACCTCTAAAAACCCAAGATTTCTCAAAATGGGAAAAAGAAGAAATTGAAACTCTGCATACCCAAATTTGCAAAAACATCCTAAAAGTGAACAGAGCGACACCAAACAACTCATGCAGAGCTGAATTAGGACAATACCCCCTGTTGATCAGCATCCAGAAAAGAGCTATAAAGTTCTACCAGCATCTAAAGCACAGTGACCCGAGCTCATACCAGGCCGAAGCCCTGCGGTGTCAGGAACAGAACCGGCCCCGGAGCGCACTCTCACAGCTGATGCTCAAACTACAGCCCGACCCGCACAGCACTGTCTGCTGGCCCAACCAAATTATACAATTACAAAAACTAAATTACATTAACTATTGGAAAGATGCTACTAAATCACAAAAGAAGATGGAACTCTATTTAAACCTCAAAAGAGATTATAAACCAGCAGAATACCTGAGCTGTGTGAAAGAGCATAAAGTGAGAAAGACCCTGACCAGATACAGGCTGAGTGACCACAGTCTGGCCGTAGAGAGAGGACGGCACCGGCAGAGATGGCAGCCGCGAGAGCTGAGACTGTGTTCACTGTGCTCTCAGAGAGAGGTGGAGACAGAAGAACACTTCCTCATTTACTGTGATCATTATCACAGCATTAGATCAGAGTATTTCTCTAGATTCCAACAACTAGATCCAAATTTTATGGCATTGCCAAATTCAGAAAAATTAATTCATATTTTGGGAGAAAACTCCAGCTCAATCACAACAGCAGCAGACTATGTAACAGCCTGCCACAAACTACGAGAGTCAGCCAGTGGACAAAACTAAAGTCTGAAAGTTGGTTAAAAAAAAAAAAAAAAAAACTTTTTTTTTTTGTTTGTTTATTTGTTTATTTATTTATTTATTTTGTTTGTTTGTTTTCTGATATATATGCATGTATTTCATGCATTTGTTTACTGATTCATTTACTGATTATTTGTTCATTGCCTATGTAATGGCCAATGCTTTGGCAATACTGTATAAGTCATGCCAATAAAGCTCATTTGAATTTGAATTTGAATTTGAGAGAGAGAGAGAGTCACATACACTCCGCTCAGCACGTGGATTGTGTGTGTGTGTGTGTGTGTGTGTGTGAGAGAGAGAGAGAGAGAGAGAGAGAGGAGCGAAAGAGTGAGTGTGTTTGTGTGTGTGTGTGAGAGAGAGAGAGTCACATACGCTCCGCTCAGCACGTGGATGGAGTGAGTGTGTGTGTGTGTGTGTGAGAGAGAGAGAGAGAGAGAGAGAGAGAGAGTCACATACGCTCTGCTCAGCACGTGGATGGAGTGTGTGTGTGAGAGAGAGAGAGAGAGAGAGAGAGAGAGGAGCAAAAGAGTGAGTGTGTGTGTGTGTGTGTGTGTGTGAGTTTGTGAGAGAGAGAGAGAGAGAGAGAGAGAGTCACATATACTCCGCTCAGCACGTGGATTGTGTGTGTGTGTGTGTGTGTGTGTGTGTGTGTGTGAGAGAGAGAGAGAGAGAGAGAGAGAGAGAGAGCGAAAGAGTGAGTGTGTTTGTGTGTGTGTGTGAGAGAGAGTCACATACGCTCCGCTCAGCACGTGGATGGAGTGAATGTGTGTGTGTGTGAGAGAGAGAGAGATAGAGAGAGAGAGACCAACACACACATTCACACTATCACACAGAACCATCGAGAGCACAAAAACATACACTTACCTCGGCCTGAAAATAACTCCAACTGGCAACTTTACTTTGGCTGTGAATGAACTCAAAGAGAAAGCTCAAAGGGCTTTCTATGCCATAAAAAGATCAATCAAATTGACATCCCAATCCAAATTTGGCTCAAACTTTTCAAATCCATAATTGAACCAATTGTTTTAATATGTAACTCCTCACACCCGGGGCCAACTCGCCCCGCTCCGAGCAGGCCTCGAACCCGGGTCTCCGGCGTGAGAGTCGGGCGCTCTAGCAAGGAGGCTAAAGACTGCAGCCTCTAGCATCTGTCGCTAGAGCGCCTATTGAGATCGGGGAGTGAGGTTTACTCGCACAACTACTAGCTGGCCTCCGTTACATATATGGCAGTGAAGTGTGGGGTCCTTCTATCAAATTTGATCTCTTAAACTGGGAAAAACATCCAATTGAAACTCTACATTTAGATTTTTGTAAACGAATACTCAAAGTCCAAAGAAAGACACCAAACAACGGATGCAGGGCAGAATTAGGCCAATACCCTCTCCTTCTAAACATCCAAAAAAGAGCCATCAAATTGTGGAAACACCTAAAAACAAGCGACCCCAACACATACCATTACCAAGCCCTAAAACACCAAGAGCTGAGCGTAGCGAGGAGTCCCCTGTGCCAGCTGGTGCTGAGACTGACTGGGCTCTCTCCTGCAGAGATCAGCTCGCCTCAGCACACACACACACTCACACACATTCGGCCCGCACAAATTATCAACACAGAACAAGACAAGTACATCACCCATTGGACAAACACCATTAAAAACCAACACAAACTGGAATGTTATTCGGCACTAAATCGAGAGTACACCGTTGCAAACTACCTGAGCACAGTGAGTGATGTGAGACTCAGGAAAACCCTGACGATGTACAGACTCAGCGAGCACAGCCTGGCCATCGAGACGGGCCGGCGCAGACAGACCTGGCTCTCCCGTGAGGACAGACTCTGCCCGCACTGCACCCTGGAAGTGACGGAGACCGAGCTGCACTTCCTCACAGAATGCCCAAAATATGAACACATTAGAGACCACTATTACCCCAAAATTAATAATATATTTCCCCAATTTAACACCTGTAATCCGACCCAAAAACGTTGTTTGTTTCATTCTTGGCGAAGAAGCCAAATGCTCAAATATAGCTGCAAAATTTGTAGCATCCTGCCACATCCTGAGGGACGACCAGAAACCAGAAAACATACACTAAACACACACTCATTCACAGCCTAAGATCTACACACATGTATATAATGTTCAATATTTTTCTTTTTTATGTATATATTAGGGCTGTGCAAAAATTAATTGCGATTAATCGCATCCAAAATAAAAGTCTGTGTTTACGTAATATATTTATGTGTGTTGTATATAATTATTTTGAATATAAAAATACCTATGCATGCATGTATATATTTAAGAATTATTTGCGCTTAAATTTTGTATATATATATATATATATATATAGAAATAATCTATATTATATAAATATAAATATTTTATATATGAATAACACATTTTCTTAAATATATACATGCATGTGTGTGTTTTTATATATACAAAATAATTACAGCACACACAAATATATTATGTAAACACAGACTTTTATTTTGGATGCGATTAATCGCAATTAATTTTTGCACAGCCCTAGTATATATATATATATATATATATATATATATATATATATATGATTTCTAAATCCATTTTATTTTTTTTATTAATCTGTTCACTTTATTATTATTGTTTTATGATATCAGTTTTAATATTTTGTGTACTAAATGTTCCAAATCATTTTCTATGTTGTTTTGACGCTTTGGCAATACAAAATGTATTTTTTGTCATGCCAATAAAGCTTTCTGAATTGAATTGAATTGAGAGAGAGAGAGAGAGAGAGAGAGAGAGAGAGAGAGAGAGAGAGTCACATACGCTCCGCTCAGCACGTGGATGGAGTGAGTGTTGATGCCGAACCCGAACAGCTCCACATCCGGAACCGCCTCCGTCACCTCGAACGTTCTCTCCTCCTCTTCCTCCTTCTGTTCCTCAGGCATCCCATACAACACCAGCAGCGGCTCAGACAGATCCTGAGGAACACACACACACACACACACACATATCAGCAACAGTCACAACCAAGCTGTGAACAAAGATGTTATGAATCCTGGTGAGATTGTGTAATCATGTATGAGTAAGATGAAGCACTGAGGTGACTGTGTGTGTGTGTGTGTGTGTGTGTGAGTGAGTGAGTGAGTGAGTGAGTGAGTGAGTGTACTCGTGTGTGTGTGTGTGTGTGCGTGCGTGACTCACGGCCCGCATGACGCGCAGCGAGCGCAGCTCTGAATCGACTCCACCCCAAACCCGCCAATCATGATACTCTCCCTCCTCCAGCAGATACTGGTTGCCACGGAAACCCTCCTTCTCGTACCCCACCCAGCTGATGGAGTCAGACGAGGAAGAGTTAAAGGAGTACTTCACTTTAAAGTTAAAATTACCCCATGACTTACTCCCCCTCAATCCATCTTAGGTGTATATGACTTTCTTATTTCAAACGAATACAATCTAATTAAGAGATTGTAATACAATAAATATAATTAAATACAATAAAAACTAATAAATACAATACAATTTAGAGTTATATTAATAAACGCCCTGATGCATCCAAGCTTTATAATGGCAGTGAATTGCAACTGTGATATTACACATTTTATTAACATGTTTAATTTAATGTTTTAAATGGAGAAAGTCTAAATCTAAAGTCTAAATCTCAGAAAACAGTAGGAGTTCCCAGTATGACACTTCTGACTGTCCTGTGACCACACGGGAAAGCCATGCCTTTCCTGTTTCTCGTCTCATCGTGTGAAAATGCCTGTTTGAAGTTTGAACACCTATGTTCATTTCTGAGGCCATTTGCCTTGGAGCTCTAGGGTCACATGCATTTTCCATTTGCTTTGTTTCAGTGTCTCCACCTTTAGGTAATCCCACCCTCTTTGAAATGTATAAACTAGAATCTTATGTTCTTTTAAGTCAGACTATCCTTGAGATGACTAGTACGCACAAAATGGGGATATAAATATGCGTACGCATTTTTCCACGCGCACATCGGTATTTATAAAAAATAAACTTGCCGTAAATAAGTGCGCACCGTAAAGATGCTCTTGACCGTGCGTACGCACTCTTTTAGAATATTATGGGTTTTGGCGACACCGATGGTGAGCTGGAGTCAAATGTCTTTTTGCTTACTATTAGACAGAGAATCTAAAGAAAATTATACATCTACAGAAAGATAATACAAATATAATTTCACAAACCTATATCATCACTTGAAGCAAACATCCATCCCTTCCTAAATGACCGTGCCAGCACGCGCGTTGGGCCGTTTGGTGAAACTAACTGACGCACATATAGCCTATAATCTAACGGCAGATGGAGTAAAACCATAAATCTTCATTATGAGTCCAAATCATAAATACAGTCCATATTCACAATAACAGTTTAAATAAATAAGAGAATGGTTTAAACTATGTTTTACTTTTGATATAAACATTTAGATTAAATATGCCATTCTCATTAATGGAGTTAAACTCTTAAACATGCAATCATTACTGAGAAGTTACAATATATACAGTATATATATATATATATATATATATATATATATATATATTCAATAAATAGAAATATACCTATTTGTTGTGGATGCATTGCTTTTGAACACTTTTCTTCTGGCATGCAGTGTTTTATGATAATAGCAGATTGTCTGAGAAAATAGTTCCATAATCCACAACCATGTCTATCTGTTTCCATTAAAAATATAAATTCATTAAAAATACTATTTGGCCAGTTGAAAAGATTGAGAAAATCTTCCTCTGAAATGTATTTGACACTATTTGATTTATTCATTCAAAAACAAGGCAAGAATATACACTGTAAAAACTAAAGGTGCCTCAAATATCCTGTCGGATACTCAAGGAACCTAAAAACACAATTTAAGTGCCTCAAAGCTCTTTCTCATAGAGTTGGGGTTACTGGAGGAGCATTGACAATCTTAGCGGTTCTTGCTGGAACTTATGGGATCCTTGAAGCACTTTGTATTAATTTCAGAGGTTCTGGAGGTACCTTTTCACTACCATGAGACCTCGAAGTGCTTTGGGGGAAATTAGAGGAACTTGAATGCTATAAAAGGGTTATTGTAAGATCTTTTAACATTTAAATGGTTCCTGGATGATCTCTTATGTTAAAGTCAGCATCTGGAGGAACCTAGGCTAATGGTTCTGTGAGTCCAGAATACAATTATTATAATACTATTATATAATACTATTATTAAAATAATTAAATAATACTATTATTATCCTATTATTGTTATACTTAAGTATTGTTATACCTATATATATATATATATATATATATATACTGTAAATATATTTTGAAAATTATATTTCTGATGCAGCTAGTATACTTACATTTAATTAGTAATTGGCCTATTTTATTGATTCATTTAAAACTTAAACAACGACAAAAAATAGTAAGTATGTCTAATAATAATTATAATGATAATATGATCATATGAATATGAGAAGAAGAAGAAGAAGAAGAAGAAGAAGAAGAAGAAGAAGAAGAAGAAGGAAGAGAACAGTTCCCATTCAGGGAACTTCGAGCTGCGTGTAAACGCCGTGGGAACGCCTCTGCGTGACGAGTCATGAAGCACGTATGAAATCTGTCCAATGGCGAGACGGAACGTCATAGGCGGGGTGACGTATCGACCAGGAAACTATAAAGCATCCCCGAAACACAAGCGCAACAGCTTCTGAGTCTTCACAAGCGCTCTATGTATGAATTTTGTCTGTCTGTCTAATATTGTATATTTATATATATTGATATGGCGAGCAAACAACAGCAGAAAGTGTGTTCATCCCTGCCCTCGCTTCATCACGGGTGGGGATACACACGATCTGTGTGTTGTTTGCTTGGGAGTGCAGCATGCTCAGTCGGCTCTCGAGGGGGCCGGCTGTGCACTGCGAGTGTCTGCCCATGAAGACACTTCGCTCCCGCCGGGCACTCTTCGAGGAGAGTGGTTCGGTGCGCGCTCCCCGCGGCTCGGGTCCCGCTGCTGCCGAGGCACAGCGAAGGCTTGCGTCGTGGGGATCGCAGATGGATCTATCAGCGGGGATTGAGACGGGCCCCGCCCTTTCTCTGCCCTTACCTGGTAGATCCAGTGCCTCAGTTCTCGCTGCGGGAGTCCGCGTTGCGGTTTTTCCTGCCCGGGCTGAGGCGCCATCACTTCAATTATCCAGTTCTGAGGAGCTGGATGTTGAAAGTGTGGATGCAGAGTCTATGGACTCAGTGGAGAGCGAGGGAAGCTCGTTTGCCATCCCAGTCTCCCGCGAATGTAGTAAAAAAAAAAAAAAAAATGGAGGTTTTTGACTCGGGCTGTGGAAAAATTAACCATTGAATGGCCAGTTGAGAAACAAGAGTCGAGAGAGTAAAATGGATGAGAGATTTTTAATATCACACTCACTACCTCCATGCCGGTGTTTGCCCTTCTTCCCCGATCTACACACCGAGGTGTGTAGATCGTGGAACAAACCAGTGTCAGCTAGAATTTTGACACACCAGACCTCTATGTATGCTAATATTGCTGGGTCTAGGAGATATGAGTGAGGGGGAGGTCGTCGGCACTGACGTGATTAATGAGATACTGCGTCAGGCGGCAGATATTTCTCTCCGTGCCACCAAGGAGACGGCCAGATCAGTCGGCCGCTCTATGGCAGCCCTGGTGGCCACGGAGAGGCATCTGTGGCTAAATCTGGCTAATATGAAGGAGAAAGATAAAGCGTTTCTCCTGGATGCGCCGCTGTCGACCGGGAAAAAAACAGGCAGCGGCGCTCCAGAAATGTCTCCCCCTCCGTACTCATCCTTCGGGGGCTGCTGGGCGAGAGCAGCCCCGCCCGTCGAGAGAGCGTCGCGTCTCGGGCTCCTCCCCAGCAAAACTGGGCTGAGACGCGGCGTTCTCAGGCGAGGTCTTCCCGGGATAGAACCGATCTGAGGACGGTTATTGTCGCCAGGAAGGCTTCGTCGAAGAAGTCCTGACGCCACTGGTGTCAGGCTACTGAGGGTGGTCTCCACCGTGAGACAGAGGTGTTCGCCGCTGAATCCGGCGCCCGCTCTCTCTCGGTGCCCTCAGGGGTTCGTTCTGCCAACCCTGCCTGTAATGGGGGGTGCAGACGGTCCCAGCGAGCGATTTCCCGAGGGACGCTCGTTTGCTCCGAGGAGCGATACAGAACGGTCGTTAAACCCTGCCTGTGCGCGGTCACAGGGCGCTGTTTCTGTTTTTAAAAACTACTCCAGAGGCCAGTCTCGAGAGACTGGTACCCTTAGTAGAATTTCTGGTAGAATGGGGAAGTCTTCCAAATATATCTCGTTGGGTCCTGCAGACTATCGAACGCGGGTACGCGATCCAGTTCAGGTCGCGTCCACCTCGTTTCCGGGGGGTTTTGCCCACAGTGGTGACCCCCGAGCAGGCTCTGGTTATGGAACAAGAAGTGAAAGCTCTGCTACTGAAGGGGGCGATAGAACGAGTTCTTCCTCCCGACAGAGAGCTGGGGTATTACAGCCGGTACTTCATTGTTCCAAAGAAGGATGGGCGGCTGCGTCCGATTTTAGACCTGCGCCTCTTAAATCGGTCAGTAGGGAAGCTCAAGTTCTAAATGCTGACTCTCAAGCAGATCGTGTCACAGATCAGGTCCGAGGACTGGTTTGTCACGATAGACCTAAAAAAAGACGCGTACTTCCATATCTCCATCCTTCCGCAACATCGGAAGTTCCTGAGGTTCGCTTTTTGGGGCGAAGCGTACCAATATCGGGTCCTTCCATTCGGCCTAGCGTTATCTCCTCGAACCTTCACGAAATGCATGGACGCGGCCTTGGCCCGCTGCGTCTCCAGGGCATTCGCATTTTAAATTACATCGACGATTGGTTGATTCTGGCTCAATCGGAGCATCAGGCGATTCGGCATCGAGATGCCGTCCTCGCCCATATCAGAAGGTTGGGGTTGAGACTCAACGCTAAGAAGAGTGTGCTTTCGCCAGTTCAGCGGACCACTTTTCTAGGCGTGGTATGGGATTCGACGACGATGCAGGCACGTCTGTCGCCGGCTTGTATAGCCTCGATTATCTCGACTGTCAAGCAAGTGAAGCTAGGCCAGTCACTCACTGTAAAGGAATTCCAGAGAATTCTGGGTCTGATGGCAGCAGCATCCAACGTGTTACCGTGCGGCCTGCTGTACATGAGACCACTACAGTGGTGGCTCAAGACCAAGGGGTTCTCCCCGAGGGGAAAGCCGCTCCGCAAGATCAAGGTCACGCGACGTGGTCTCCGTGCCCTGGCTATGTGGAAAGAACCTTGGTTCCTGTCCCTGGGACCTGCGCTGGGAGCCCCGTGTCACCGGGTAACGGTGACGACGGATGCCTCTCTCACGGGCTGGGGAGCGATCATGAGTGGTCGCTCGGCCCGCGGGTTGTGGCAAGACCATCATCTCCGATGGCATATAATTTGTCTAGAGATGATGGCGGTGTTTCAGGCTCTGAAACACTTTCTCCCAGACCTCAGAGATCATCATGTGCTTGTCCGGTCAGACAACATGTCTGTGGTCTCTTACATAAACCACCAGGGGGGTCTGCAGGGACCCGTTCTGCTGAACCTGCCTGTGAGGGTGGGCGCAGACGGTCCTAGCGAGTGGTTTCCCGAGGGAAGCTCGTTTGCTCCGAGGAGCGATACAGAACAGTCGTTAAACCCTGCCTGTGCGCGGTCACAGGGCACTGTTTCTGTCTCTATAATTACTCCAGAGGCCAGTCTCGAGAGACTGGTACCCTTAGTGGAATTTCTGGCAGAATGGGAAAGTCTTCCAAATATATCTCGATGGGTCCTGCAGACTATCGAACGCGGGTACGCGATCCAGTTCAGGTCACGTCCGCCTCGTTTTCGGGGGATTTTGCCTACAGTGGTATCCCCCGAGCAGGCTCTGGTCATGGAACAAGAGGTGAAAGCTCTGTTACTGAAGGGGGCGATAGAACGAGTTCTTCCCCCCGACAGAGAGTTGGGGTATTACAGCCGTTACTTCATTGTTCCAAAGAAGCTAACGATATACGCCTCCCTCACGGGCTGGGGGCGATCATGAGTGGTCGCTCAGCCCGGGGTCTGTGGACTTTCTCCCAGACCTGAGGGGTCACCATGTTCTTGTCCGGTCAGACAGCACATCGGGGGTCTTTTTATAGACCATCAAGGGGGTCTGCGCTCATGTCCATTATTCAGGCTAGCGCCAGATCCTTCTGTGGGCCCAGGGGAAGCTTCTTCTTTGGCGATTTTATATCCCAGGATATTTAAATCGGGGAGCAGACATCCTGTCGAGGCAGGGGCCGAGGCCCGGGGAGTGGAGACTCCACCCCGAGGTGGTGGAGCTCCTATGGAGTCATTTCGGTCATACCGAGGTAGGCCTATTTGAATCCAGGGACTGAGACACTGCATGCTGTGGTTTCTCTGTATCCACCAGCCCCTCTGGGGTTGGATGCGATGGTACAGGAGTGGCCGAGGTCACCCCTGTACGCATTTCCCCCGATTGCTCTGCTCCCAGGAGTTCTGGAGAGGGTTCACCGAGTCGGGGTCTTTCTACTGTTAGTAGCCCCGCGTTGGCCGGCCCGAGTATGGATGCGGGTCGATACTTCACCCCCGCCCAGATCTATGGAGGTTGTGGCTTGGCCTCTGAGGGGGCCCAGCTCATAGAATCGGGTCTCTCGACTGAGGTCGTGGAGACCATCCTCCAATCCAGAGCTCCGTCCACGAGGAGATTATATGCCTTGAGGTGGCAATGTTTCACCTCTTGGTGGGGAGAACACCAGTTGGACCCAGTTAACTGCCCGGTGTGGCGGTGCTGGAATTCCTTTGGAGCATTTCTCCACAGGGTTATCCCACTCCACACTAAAGGTGTATGTGGTGGCCTATCTGCTTACCACGTCCCTTTGAGTGGAGCTTTTCACGGGAGATACCCATTGGTAATTCTTTTTCTTCGTGGTATTGTGAGGTCAGACCAAGAGAAACTAATCTGCTCTGCCCTCTGAGGGCTCTAGATGCTTATGTCCACAGAGCTGCCCTGTGGAGAAAGCCTGAACAGTTATCTGTTTGTTTTGGACCTCCGAAGAAAGGTTGTCCCGCATCTGAGCAGAGGTTGAGTAAGTGAGTGGTCGAGGCCATCTCATTTGCATATGAGTCCGCCGGTCAGCCTTCTCCTTTGGCTGTCTGGGCTCACTCAACCAGGGGTATGGTAGCTCCGCTCCAGGGGCGCAGGTGCTTTCGTCTAAATATGTGCCTGATTTCATACAACGGACACCTGCTCGCATGGCGGCGTTGGTATTAGCGTTCCCACGGCGTTTACACGCAGCTCGAAGTTCCCTGAATGGGAACGTCTCTGGTTACGTATGTAACCCTAGTTCCCTGAAGGGAACGAGACGCTGCGTGTCTATGCCATACTCCCAGCATGCCCGTGAGCGCTTGCTTCATTCCTATCAGAAGCTGTTGCGCTTGTGTTTCGGGGATGCTTTATAGTTTCCTGGTCGATACGTCACCCCGCCTATGACGTTCCGTCTCGCCATTGGACAGATTTCATACGTGCTTCATGACTCGTCACGCAGAGGCGTTCCCACGGCGTTTACACGCAGCGTCTCGTTCCCTTCAGGGAACTAGGGTTACATACGTAACCAGAGACGTTTTATCCTGTAACGAAACTGCTGCTATTCATCTGCTGTTATCGCTTCAGTGAACCTCGCGCTGCTCGCGCGTCGCGCGCAACACAGATCAGCTGATCGTCGTCGGATTTGAAAGTAACGGCTCCTCTCATCAAAGCTTCGGCTGTTTGTTCGGCTCTCCGTTACAAGGTTTGTAAACTCGCCAAAGAAATATAAATACTGAGTCTATTCACTATATATTCAAACACATATAAACTAAAACACGCGTTCTTACAGAGTTTACCACTCGTTTATTGCACATAGGCTACCTATGTGGTATGAAGGTTTGAGCCGCGACGCTAACTAATCTAACGTTAAAGAATTAATGAAAATCATTGACTTATTGTCTTAGATTGTTTTAGTCATTCACTTAAATGTATTCTGTACAACTGTGTCTTCAAATTGCTGATATAACATTAATAGCTAATTCCTGCTGTCGACTGTCGTCATTTGCGTTATGAATAACAAGTGGATAGGCTTTAGTTTTGTCTGTTTTTGTTTATTTAGCTGCTAGCCTACTACAGGTGCCCTGATTCTTTCAAAAACCATTTTAAAGCCCTTTACTGGCCAATAATTATTATGTTGTGAATGGATATAATCAACTTTGTTCTTTTGTTTCCTCAGAAGAACCACTGCATTTCTAAAATCATCTGAACATTTCAGAGGCTACATTGAATTACAGGAGGAAGTTACCGGCACCACACTACAAGTAACGTTACTTTATTACTATGAACTTTTCTGTGTAAATTAGTTTTGTTTGACTGTGTACTTGTGTTTTTTTAATCAGTTATTCTATGAAAATATTCCTTCAGGCTCTTAAATCTCATTCATGTCACTCAGAAAAATTACATCACTGATTTGGCTCCAATAATTCTATTTTTTCTTATACAGTTCCTTAAAGGGGAAATGAAGCAGTGAATCAAGTTTACATGATTTACAAGATGGATTTCCAATATAATCAACAATTATATAAGAAACATTACAAATGTAAACATTTAGAAGAAAAAAAGAAAAAACTTTGCATCTTTCGCCGCCAGGGCGCCGCCATTGTGCTGTTGACGTCACGGAGTTGGTTGGCTCAAGTTTAACAGGCTCTGGGTATTGAAAATCGCGACATCAAACTGTGTTTACACCAGTGTTTTGACCGCGAACGACTAATGTTAGGTACAGTCATTAGACAAAAAGACGACGTCTAATGTTATATGTTGACAAACTGCACATATCTGCCGTCATATTCCCGTCTCGTCAACACCATGTAACGTTAAGTTACGTTGCTATGTAGAACAGCCGGTGGTGGTTTGGGGCGAAGAGCGGGTTTGCAACGCTAACTTACCAGGTGTCAGTGTGGCTGTTGTAGCGTTACTTCGATGCCCTCCGTGTCAGAGTCCATCTGTTGTCAAGACAAGAGGTTCATCTTGAGCATGTGTTTCATGGTCAATTCTGCATCACCGGCGCGCACGTTTACCATGCTGTGCCGGGAGGTAGACGTGTGGAAGCGGCGATGCTTTCCCTGAAGGATGTCAGAGCGGAGACACTTTTTCCTAGTATGTAGGCTGTAGCTACTAGCACTACCACTGCGAAAATATGGACGTTTCATTTCCCCTTTAACAAATAACGTTACATGCTAACTTACATGTTGACGAGACGGGAATATCTGACGGCAAACATCGCGAACAATGTTTCTATGTGCAGTTTGTCAACATATAACATTAGACGTCGTCTTTTTGTCTAATGACTGTACCTAACATTAGTCGTTCGCGGTCAAAACACTGGTGTAAACACAGTTTGATGTCGCGATTTTCAGTGCCCAGAGCCTGTTAAACTTGAGCCAACCAACCCCGTGACGTCAACTGCACAATGGCGGCACCCTGGCGGCGAAAGATACAAAGTTTTTTCCTTTTTTCTTCTAAATGTTTACATTTGTAATGTTACTTATATAATTGTTGATTATATTGGAAATCCATCTTGTAAATCATGTAAACTTGATTCACTGCTTCATTTCCCCTTTAATCATTTGCATTTGAATATAAAAAAAATCGAACTGTAGTCTTTTTAGACAAAAAATACAAAGGCTATTATATGGCTTCAGAAGACTTGCAACACAACTCATAACACATGAGTTGTGGACCAATTTTTCAATTTAATTTTTCATATTTTTATGATCTTTTCTGTGACATTTTTGGAGATTAACACAATATTTAACCATTTTTACATAAATTGTTGCATTGAATTGAACTAAACAAGTGTACATAAGAATGGTTTCATGAATGATTTACACAGTTTTGTTCTGCTTGTCTCCTGCAGTGTAACTGAATGATGACTGGGGTTGCATTACGCCTGAGATCTGCTTTTGGGTTCCACAGACAGAAAGTCAAACAGGTTCGGAATGTCACAAGGAAATTATTTTCAGTTCACAACTATCACTTTAATAACACTGCTGACAGTAATTTTGGTTCTTTGCAGGCACCTCGGTAAGCTGAAATACAAGTCTGAACAAGAAAAATAATCCTCCTGTAGACCTGAAAATCATTGAAGTGCCTGGACCATCCACCAGTAAAGAGGAAAAACAAACGGAAAATTGTACTGTTCTAACTCGTTAACCTCACATGTCCGTTGTTAAGATTTTATTAATGATTGCATTTTATGTTTCAGCAAGTAAAGGTGCGGTCAAATTTGTGAAATTACACAGGCAAAAAAAGTCCATTGACACAACTTAACTTAATTGTTTTTTTTATTTTATTAATGTGATGTGTTTCCATGCATTTTGTTGAGATGTCTTTTCTTGTATACCCTATTGTATATACTGTACATTGTTGATTATTCATGTTGCTTACAGTATGTATTATACTATTTGTTTGTGTATTCTATTCATTGATATTAATCTATTACTAGCTTCTTTTCCCGAGTGCATGGAAGTGTATGTATTAAAATGGATCTAAAATGTAATAAACAATTCTTACCTTGAATTTGGTTCAGTTTGTTTATAATAATAGAAGTTAATGCTAACCATAGTAACAACATGAAATAATAATAATAAATAAATAAATAAATAAAAATTGGTTCCTGGAAGCACCCAAAGCGGTTCCATGCAGTGCCTAATATAAGAGTTCCTCAGGAAACCTGGGTGGTTCCTCAGAGAACTGTCCCTTTTTTAAAGGGTTCCTAGAGGATCTACAGACGGTTCCGCCGGCGTGGCAAAGTGAAGAACCCCAAAAGGTTCCTCCAGGCACCTTTTCTTTTTACAGTGTAGGCTATACTAAAAAAAAAAAAAAAAAATGTATTGTGACACGGCACATCTGTATTTAATATTTTCCTAACGTCCTGTACGTTAACATGGTCTCACGTGGATGAATAATCACATGCAAATGATATGCAGATGAGGATATACATATTTAAACTAGGCGTTGTAAGCTCCATATATGGTTATTTCGGGGAGGAGCTGCATGTGCGCGCATTCTTCCGCTGACTGGGATTTATAAAGGGAATTCTGTGCAGGTTCTGGCGTACACACGGTTTTATAAATCTGAATATTTTTTTGGCGTACGCCATTTTTGGCTTTCGGGGGCACGTTCACTTTTAGTAAGGATCCTACGCACAGTTTTATAAATGAGACCCCTGGGGCCTCATGTACAAAGACTTGCGTTGAATTCATACTAAAACATAGCGTACGATCAAAGCTGTAAATGTGCGTACGCACAAAAAAAAACAGATATGAATGTCTGCGTACGAAGGATCCCACGCATATTCTCTTTGTACATCCCAATTAACGTAAAATTGAGCGCACATGCACGAGCACAACGCCCCACCCAGTCTCCTCCCTCAATTAAATTAATTTAAATATGGTAATAGTCCAATTTGGCAAAAGAAACCCGCAAGGAAATGAAATTCCACTGAAAATGTTATCTATGTGAATATATGTGAAAGTGTAATTTATTCCTGTGATCAAAGCTGAATTTTCAGCATCATTACTCGTCTTCAGTGTCACGTGATCCTTCGGAAATCACTCTAATATGATGATTTGATGATCAAGAAACATTTATGATTATTATCAGTGTTGAAAACAGCTGTGCTTCTGCTTCATATTTTCATGGAAACCGTGATATAGTATTTTCAGGATTCTTTAATGAATAAAAACTTAAATCAAACACATATAGAAATCTTATAATCGTTTTTAACATTATAAATGCATGTACGGGCACTTTTAAACAAATTCAATATGTCCTGGCTGAATAAAAATATTACTTTTTTTTTTTTTACCTTTACTGACCGAAATAATGAAGTTTATTTTTTTATTTCCTATAGTAAAGCCAACGCTGCCATTGCTAGACGGGTTTGCACATGCTTTATGTTCTTACTTTATTGCATAATAGAATATTTTAATAAGACTCGTGTGACATAATTTGTAATTGATACATTATTTGACATATCATTAAGCAATATCTGACAGCTGGTGGTGCGATAGAACAATTCGTAGAGTAATGTTTGCCACTTCACCTTATTGCCTCTAGGAGTCGCCAACGGACAAATCAAGGCAAATGTACGTACGCCAGACATGAAGTTTACTTGGAGGAACGCACATTCTTCCGTTAATTTCACTGTTAGTACATCTGGCCGTGAACGTGAAAGCTGGCGTACGCCGTGTTTTTGTACGTACGCAGTGTTGATACATGAGGCCCCTGGTCTGTTGCGTGGAAGAAAAAAAAACTTAACTACACAACCATCAGTGTGAAGTCACTTTTATTGATGGATAAATGCACCTTTATGGACTTCAAACTTCACATAATTGCAATTCACTGCCATTATAAAGCTTGGACGAGCCAGATTTTTTTTATAACTCCGATTGTATTCGTCTGAAATAAGAAAGTCATATAGACCTAAGATGGCTTGAGGGAGAGCAAATCACATAATTTTCATTTTAAAGTGAACTAACTCCTGTAACAATGATCCTTTAACCACATGCTCTCTCTCTCACTCACACACACACACTCACCAGCCGCCGATGACTTTAATGGATCCTGGGCTGAACACGAACAGCTGCTGCTGCCGGTCGACTCGAGACAGGAAGTCTCTCATGCTGCTGTAAAGTTCTCTGCTTTTCCCAGTGAAATACGGCTTCTCATAGAGCACAATCTGGCACGAAACAACAGATATCAAACATCATCTGCCCTCCACGCCTTACACAACAGAAGGAAGGATGATTTAAAACACACCTTAGGCTCATGGAGGTTCTCGACTCTGGGTTCCCCCTGTGAAACACACGTCATGAGTTTAGCAGATCTGGTGTGTGTGTGATAAGCAGGGTTAGGCTTAAGGTTAGGGTTAGAGAGGAGTGTGAGCTTACGATCTTGAGCGGGTGAACGCTGGCCACGTAAGGGTGTGTGACGCCCCAGGCCGTGGGATTGGAGAACCCCCCCACCTCCAGCACCCGAGGGACACCCTGGAAGAAGGGCTCCGCAAACACCAGCCATCTGAGCACAACACACATGCGATGAGAGAGAGAGAGAGAGAGAGAGAGATTTATAACACTATTAAATCATTTAAAAACAATGAATGAACATACACTTTACTCAAGAAATTTAACAAAAATAATTCACCATCTCTAACAACGCACAACATTTCTTTATAATTCCATACATGTTTCCATACCCCCCCCAAAACAAACAAACAAACAAACAAACAAACAAAAAAAAAAAACCTTGAAACCAAAAATGAAACCAACCTTTCAAAATATTACTTTAAAAACCCACAAACATGAAATCAGGCAACACAAAGAGTCACTCACAGCCCAGCGTTGATGATGATGGAGTTGGCTTTGATCGGGAAGCCGAAGATTCTGGCGTCGTCTGACGTGTCTCTGAACGTCACCTTCTTGCCCTCCGCGTTTTCCTCTGGGAAAAGGCAGATTTCAGGAACGCTGTAATCCTGGAAGGGCAGAAAAGTTATGCTGAGCATCAAGAAGTGTTGTGATGAGTATTAAACAGATTTTATTTTACTTTGGACTGAAACAAATTATTTCTATGTATATTTTTCAAGTATCTGTATTTATTTTGGGAAACTTTTACTGTACCTCACTGCATTCCAAAGCATAATATTATGTTTTAATATCACAACATAAAAACATTCCTCTTTATTTTCGAACTGAAGGAATCGTCAGAGCTATGTCCGATTCATGAACGAGTTGATTCTCTCCAATGAACCTACTGAACTGATTCACTGAACGATTCATTTGTGAATGGGACAGATCCAATTGCAGCTGTTCATGAGTCGACAAGAGCTTCAGTGTGAGCGCCACTGATGTAAAGTAGCCTCTGCTGTAGCGGTTTCCGATTATATCAACGAATATGTTTTCATAGCATTCCTCAAAATTTTTTGTTACATTATCCATGACGTCTGTATTTTTATTCCATTTGTCATCACATATTTGCCCAAATTTAATTACCCCATTTTAAAAAAATACGCTCATATTATTTGTTTGCATACTTGACTTATCAGTAACTTTAACTGCTGATATTTTAGTATATTTAAGTTTAATGTTTTAATGGTGAATAATAAATGTTGATAATAAAATAAAGTTTGCTTATTTGCAATACATATTAAATTCATGCACTAATCTTTCTTAGTGCTAACTAGAACAAATATATGGTTCATCCTACATGCTTATATTTTTGCAGGAGTAATGTTGGGGTTTACTGCTTTTTTTCTATGCATGATTCTGTTTATGGGGTGCAATATAACATGTGTTTGTGGTTTTTCTTTTTTAAAAAGTCTTATTTTTCATAAACTTCACCTTGTAAGCCGCACTCTCCTCTGTCACCTGAACGATCTGTTGACTTCCTTAGTCTATGAAACCACTTCCTTTAGAAACAGGCAGTGGGCTCAGATTGGTTAGTTTGGGCCGGTGTGTGGTGATTGGCTAAACTGTCGCTCATGTTGTCAGGAAGGTTAACATTACCTTTACGGGCAAAACCTTTCTTTTACTGTCAATAGACAGTATAGACTTACCGTGTTTCCAACGGCATCCGCTGTAAAAAGCTGAATAAAGCGGCTAGATTACTTACAATTTTCCACAGCTTACATTGTCGGAAGTTTTTGTCAACTGCCATTTCTTGGAAATATATTTTTTCCAGTGTTTCATGAGCAGAACAATCCGAAAACACATTAAATAACAGTAAAGCCCATTGAAGAGATGCAAGTCTATCCCTCACAGCCTCGCTTTCATTCTCATTAAAAATCAAAGATGACGCTGCCATGAATAAGGCGTATGGGCGAAACGTGTCTGTGCTCCGGTCCAGATGTAAATAATGGTGTCGAACTGCGAGAAAGAGAAACGAACGAGAAAGCGGCGATGAAGAGACGCAAACAGAACCTCACCACACACGGTTCTTACTAAACGTTTCTGAATGATAATTTGATAAATTTTTTAACTTTATACACGTTTGTTTAACAAAATAGCATCTGACTGGCAACAATAGCAACTGACTGGCTGCTAATGTTATACTCACACAGCGTTGGCATTAGTTTACGTTCTTGATCAAACCGAAAATGAAGTCATTAAGCATATATACATGAAAAATAAGTTTAAAACATTAGTTCTTATACAAAATTCAGGTCCATAATGTTTGTACGCGTTTGTCGTAGACACAAAATAGCATAACTAGTAGCCTAGTGCAGTTCCCAAAGTGGGTGCCGTGACAACTGGCTAGGGGTGCCGCAGAATCTCAGCTTTATTTTCCTATGTAAACAGCCTAAAATAACTATCGTACCATATAATAACCTTTTACAGCATATTTAAAAATAATATCAAAACACCAACATATGAATGTCCAAACAAAAATTAATAAGCGAAAAAAATCCTAGTATTTCATACATTTTACAGTTTAAATGTTTATTTACCGCTAATTGGACTGTTGTCGGGAGGGAATCGTCCCGCTCGCTCCGTAGCCTACTTTGCAATGGGCTCAATTTTATATTTCACGCAGATAGACAGAACAGGACAAATGGATAAATTTATAGGTTTAAACAAAAGAAAAGCAGAAATGTCACAGCCCAGAAGACCAACTGTCTATTTTATAAAAAATAAAAATAATGACAGTCTCTCAGTTTTTACTTCACTTAGCATAAATACTTGTTTTTATGAAGTTCCTAAACGTAAGTTAGGGAGGAGCAAGCCCATCCAATCTTTCAATCAACAACCATTGTATATGCAGCCGCTTACCTCTCCCTAGTATCAGCCGTTCCAGTATGCATTACTGCTTCATGGAATAATGTGAAATACAGCTCTTTCCGTCAGACAACCAACTGACGAGCCTTCCCGAGACTCTGACAGCCTCACCCCGTGTAATATCGGATTTCACGGATCATCTCCACGAGCGTTCTGGCCGAGAAATCCAGCGCTCATACAAACCACGTTCTAAAAGACAACGCTCTCCTCCACCTTCAAGACCGCCAGTTTTAACTGTGCCTCGTCCGTCTTCTCAGATTTCATCTTTCCACGCAACAGCCGCTAAAACACCAATTACACCCATTTCGAAATGTTCAGTCAACAGCCTACGTCAAGTCCTTTCCAGCCTACGTCAAGTCCTTTCCGGAATCCATTTCTTCCGCAGATCTTCAAAAGCACAGCTTTACGATCTCTTCATCAGTTCCAGCACCGGGCGTCCTGATCCCAAACAATCTCAACGTGGCGATCCAAAGGCTACCGGCAGCTCCGTGGCTCGCACTTCTGGGTCCGCCGGTAATTCCACCCGGCCAGAAACAGCGGCTTCAATAAACAGTTACGCTTCTTCTCCAGCTCCAACAAACTTCATCCAGTCAGCCCCACTCCCCAGGCAAGAACCAAACTCTCAAACACTTTTCTCAGCACTTCCATCTTTTTCTCCAGCTTTCTCTAATCCTCTTCATAATAAACCTGGTGCCAGGCCACCCTCGCACACGGTTACGTTTCTATCATCCCCAAACCAACCTACCCAAAAAGCGGATTCTAGCGTGAGGCTGCCTTCGCTAGCTATCCCCCCTCCACCCCCTCCTCTTTCTTTCAATTCCAATTCACCCCATTCCTTTTCTCCCCTGCTATTATCCAATCATTTCCTAATATTCTTCCCAGTTCATCATTTCCGAGCGTGAGGTTGCCTCCGCAAAGGATTTCTTCTCCTTTCTTTCCCATAAACACTCCCATTCCTCTAACTTCAGCCCATGCCAGCCATCTTGGACACCAGCCAGTAATGGGACCCTCCGATCAACATTCATCTGCTTTTCCTAACACCAACATCTACTCTTCAGGTACAATCCGCTTGCCAGCCCATTCACTCTCCACAGCAGTCCATCTTCCAGCTCCTCGTAATGAATAGGCCATAGAACCACCTCCAGTTTCAGCCCATCTCCGGTCCTTAATTCTATCAGGTGCAGACATTGCTCTTCCTTCTCTATTGACTTCCGTCCCCCTCAATGAATCCCACCGCTCATTTGATTGCGGCCCATTAACCATCAATCTTAAAAATTCGGTACAACCTTCAAAAAGAGTTCTCACACTCGAAGAATTCTGCATCGCGTTTGCTGGATATACTGAAGTAATTTGCACTTCATTTCCAGCCAGACGCAAGGAATTAAACGACTACCTCTCAATTGTAGCAGAGCTCAGTCTCTCTTTTGGAGGCAGTCATTTTTATACGTATCATAAGCTTTTTTCAGCTAAATGCGCCGCCCGCGCCACCCACTGGAACCAGTGTCCTTATTGGGGAGCTCTGGACCTCGAACTTTACAACAGAGTCTTCCTAGGCGCCTCGGAGCCTTTCCTGCGCCATCTGCAGGTCCATTATTCATTCTACTTCAAAATGTCCACAAACTAACCCAGATCTTCCAACCCATCCAGCTCCTTTCCAAGAAAAATCCACAGCCTACGTCCCTCAACCAAGGAATGACCGCAGTCAAATCTTTACCTCCGTTTCAGGTAGACAAGTGTGCAACAGCTTCAATTCCTCAGGTTGCAACAGACAACGATGCCGCTTCCTTCACGTGTGCAATTTCTGTGGCGGAGCTCACGCCCGTTCCATTTGCCCCGTGCCCCGCTTTTCTGCTAACCTCAATAAAAAACTTCAAAAGTACCTCTCTAGTCCAATCATTATTTCCTCACTAGCTAGAGAACTACACAACCATCCAGACAAAAACTTCACCCAGTTTCTACTTTCAGGCCTGAAAGTGGGGTTTGACCCCGGCTTGGTAACCATACCCGATTCCAGCCTGATTTGCAACAATCTTCAATCCACAACAGCCGAACCCGATATAGTGGAAGCCCTAATTAAAAAAGAACTAGATTTAGGATTCATGATCGGCCCTTTTGATTCTCCACCATTCAAATTATTCCGTATAAGTCCTATAGGAGTTGCCACCAGAAAATTTTCAGGCAAAAAACGAATTATTGTGATCCTTCATGATTTTAACCATGGAGGCTCTCCTGTTCGGATAGCAGTGTGGGCCCTCCTATCCGAAAAGAGGACTGGAGGTACCAAGGATCGTACGTCCCTCGAACGCAACGGGCCATTGTGTCTTTATGCGATCAGGCCCCCTGCGTCAGGAGGATGGTAGTTCTGCTTTTCTTATGTATACCGTAGGCTCCCTCTTGCTGCGTAGGGAGTTTCGCTTCAGATATTGGTGGCCCATTTGCCTTTACGGATGAGGGCCTCCTTCCTCATTTGTGACATCCAGAGACCCCATGTTCTCTAAATCCATGGGGCTCCATGTCATGGATGTGGCAGGGCGTTCTCCAACCTCGTACTCAAACCTCCAGTCCCAAGATACTCCCTGTAAGTCACTGCCACAGCAGTGCAGCGGTGAGAAGTACCTCTTTCAAATTTCCTTAAACCCTTGCGTCTCAACGAACGCGGGCACTTTCTTTCTAATCACAGCTCCCGCTGGAGCTCCACTCG